AAGAAGAATATATGCATGCATACCTACAAATACTGACACTCAAATGAGCGCCTGCAAAGTAAATGAGTAGCAGGCTGGCCACAGCGCCCAAAAGGCGGCAAAGAACTTTCGCTAATAAGACTACAGGTCTTTGTACAAGATGAATGGAGTAGGGGGGCGGAATTAAAACAAATGAAGGCGAAAGCAAAGTGACAAAATGCATAAAAGCAGTGTTAAATAAATGTGTGTAAGCGTAGATGGCTATGCGCGGCATGCTGAAGGGGGCTCGGGAGGGGCGATGAAGTACCTCAGCCAGGTCAGGTTGGCAGACAGACATTCATTTGAACAAAGCGCAAATTATCACCACTTTGCCAAGGCGACAACAACAATTAAAGTGCCAACAACAGTTAAATAGATGGTAATGCCGCAACAACAACAACAACAACAACAGCAACAACAATGTCTTGGCATCAACGAGAACAGAAATAATTATTTCCATTTAAGAGTTTTAAAACAAAGTTTAAGCATTTGATATGTGCGCGCGAAGCTTTAGCTAAATGAAATGAAAATTAATGTTTGCCCGCATTGGGGTGCCAGTAGGCCTCTGCTGTTCTCTTCTACTTGGTGCTAACATCGCCGCTCTCGGTAGTTGGTAGGCAATTTGCAACGCATTGTTTTTCAACAACCTGATTTGGCCTCAGCACCAAAATGAGCTCTTCTTCTTCTTCTTCTTCTCATTATTGTTATTTGTTTTAGTGGGTAGCTCATGTAATTTGACATTAAACAAGTCTGAGACTGACAACAAAATGACATTTTAAATGTACAAAGAAGCAGTAAGGTTACAAAGAAAGTTGGCACGCTTGTGGGTGCTCCTGCCTCCGGCCTCCTGTAGTACACTTCACCTGTTGTTAATGACTGGAAATACATAGGTGTTGGAAGTTTCGAGTCAGTTGCATTTGCCGGTATCTCACACAAAGGAGTTTCGAAATTTTTTGACACTTTGAAGCAAATCAGCCAGCATTCACCACTGAATTGTATCTACACTCTGGCCTTGCCTCTTCATCTATTGTATGTACATTCTGTGTTGCCATAACTCAAAATCATTTTCTCTCAGCACAGATTGTTTATGAAAAGTTAAATTTGACAAATGCTGTTGTTGACCCCCTTTGGCTGTCACTTTGCGTGGAGCTGTTTTGCTAAATACATTCACGCCTGCCATTGTATTTGACAGTTTTGACACCCACTCGTAGCAACTCATTTGTTGCACTCGTTTGAAAGTGAGACGGGTAGTGGTAGTCTCCCAAATGAATGTTGCAATGGCGTAATTAATGGTGATGCTTTCCTATAAATAATTTGAGAAAATTATTCTTGGAAAATACTCTAAAGGAGAATTTCAACTAAAAGGGCAAGTAGGGCATCAATGAGTATACATAGTTGCCTGAAAACATTGGATGCTAACGTTTAGGAATTATATCTTACTTGTAAAATTTATAGGGCTGCGTTCACACAGAAAACCGTTGGGACGGAACAAGTGCTTCTTGAATGTATGTTATTAATTTAGCAAAAACTTGCTAGGAAAAGTTTAAGGATTACACTCTGTTATCGATTTTTTTATCGATTTTCTAAACGATTTTTGTTATCGATTATTTAGTCGTTTTGTTATCGTGTTTTTATCGATTTTCTAATCGATTTTGCTACCAATTATGTTATTAATTTAACAAAAACTTGCCAGCAAAAGTTTAAGGATAACACATTGTTATCGATTTTTTATCGATATTTTTATCGATTTTGTTATCGAATTTGTTATCGATTTTGCTATCGATATTTTTTTCGATTTTGCTACCAACATTAATATCGATTTTGCTATCGAAATTTTTATTGAATCGATTTTGTTGTCGGTATTTTATCGATTTTATTATCGATTTTGTTATAGATTTTGTATCGATTTCTTATCGATTTTTATAGATTATTTACCGATTTTGTTATCGACTATTTATCGATTTTGAGCAGATGTATGTATATGGGTTATGAAACAAAATAGATACGTAACGTCACTTCTCTAGTGTGGCCCAGGCGCACTTACTTTTTTTTACATATTCTTTGACAGTTTTTTTTTAATATTGATTTTGCGGATATCGAATAACCTGGATTTTTGCTATCGAATGAACCGGGTTATTCACAAATAGTCACAATTCAATAAAGGATATTGGCAACGGATCGGTGGTCCTTGCATTATTTTATCTGCAGTACCAACGTTGGCATAACTTAACAAGCTTTATTTGCAGAAGTTGTTCAGATAAAGGCGGGGATCAAATAATTCATCACTTTCTTTACGCATATCCAAGTTTCCGGCCAAAACTAATCAAGNCCTCTGAGTTCCGAACCATAAGGGCATAGAAAGAAACAAAGATGCAGGCATATATGACAGGAAGGCTGCAGAAACAACACAGAAAGGTTCTTATCCTTTATATAAAATAGATCCGTTCATCATCAGAGAAACGCTTAAGAGAGAAGAAAGAACAAATATACAAACAGCACTGGAACCAAGTTTTTGGGCAAGTTCCGAAAATGTCAAACTATTCTTATATAACTATTCAACAAGAAACGCGGCGCCGGTATTCGCGCCAACTACAGCGGGATCAGCCTTCTAAGCATTGGTTACAAGGTCTCATCGAGCGTATTGTGTGAAAGACTGAAGTCTTCCGTCAACGAAAAGATTGGGCTTATATGTGTGGCTTTAAACCAGGTCCAGATTCACCATAGACCAGGTGTGCACAATACGCCAAATCTTGGAAAAGAACCGCGAGAAAGGATCGATACTCACCATATATTTGTTGACTTCAAAGTCGCTTTTTATAGTACTAAAAGGAGTTGCCTCTAGCCGCGATGTCTGAATTTGGCACCTCTCGAAACTGTAAAATTACATTGAGCAATATCACCAGCTCCATCAAAATTGGGAAGGACCGCTCCGAGCTGTTTGACACCAAACGAGAAGAAAATAATAATAGCCGCAGGACTGAACCGCTCAGGAACAATAGTACATATGAGCGTGCGGAATGTACGGAATGAGGTATACATTCGCACACGAATTTTTACACCTAACTATATAATTGTTGTGAGCGCTTTGAGATTGGAAGTGAGGGCGCCAGACTACTGTAGTAGAGTGCACAGCACCTTATCCGCCACTGCCCAGCACCTAGCAAACGACAACTGCAGGCGCTCGGAA